AAACAAACTGAGGGTTCTAGAGGGGAGGGGGTGGGGGGATGGGTTAGCCTGGTGATGGGTATTAAAGAGGGCACGTTTCCTGCATGGAGCACTGGGTGTTATACGCAAACAATGAGTCATGGAACACTACATCAAAAACTAATGATGTAATGTATGGTGATTAACATAACAATAAAAAAATTTTTTTTTAAAGTGCTGCTCCAGTGAACACACAATGGTAAGAAAGTAAAATAGCCTTTTTGCTGATACAGAGAAAGTCTGAGTGGTCTGGAGAGAGGAAGATCAAACCAGCCACAACATTCCCTTAAGCTAAAGCCTAATCCAGAGCAAGGTCCTAACTCTCTGTAATTCTAAGAAAGCAGAGGGAGGTGAGGAAGCTACACAAGTTTAAAATCAGCAGAGATGGGTTCATGAGGTTTGAGGGAAGAAGCCAGCTCCATAAAAGTGCAAGGTGAAGCTGTAAACACTGGTGTAGAAGCTGCAGCAAGTTATCCAGAAGATCTGCTTAAGATAATTCATGAATGTGGCTACACTCAACAACAGATTTTCAATGTAGACAAAACAGCCTTCTATTGGAAGAAGATCCATCGAGGACTTTCACAGCAAGAGAGGAGAAATCAATGCCTGGATTCAAAGCTTATCTTGTTAGGGACTAATGCAACTGGTGACTAAACTGAAAACAATATTCATTTATCATTCTGAAAATTCTAGGGCCCTTAAGAATTAAGCTAAACCTACTGTCTATGCTCTATAAACGGAAAAACAAAGCCTGGATGACAGCACATCTGTTTACAACATGTCTAACTGAATATTTCAAGCCCACTATTGAGACCTACTGCTCAGAAAAAGATTCCTTTCAAAATATTACTGCTCACTGACAATGTACCTGGTCACCCAAGAACTGATGGAGACTTACAATGAGATTAATGTTCTTTTCATGCCTGTTGACACATAATCTATTCTACAGCCCATAGATCAAGGAATAATTTTGACATTCAAGTCTTTTTATTTAAGAAATACACTTCAAACTGCTATAGCTGTCATAGACTGTGATTCCTCTGATGGATTTGGGCAAAGTAACTTGAAAAACTTCTGAAAAAGATTCACCATTCTAGATGCCATTAAGAACATCTGTCATTCACAAGGCACCTGGGTGGCTCAGTGGGTTAAGCATCTGACTCTTGATTTCAGCTCAGGTCATGATCTCAAGGTCATGGGATCAAGCCCTACGTCCTGGCTCCCATGCTCAGCATGGAATCTGCTTGTCCTGCTTCCTCTACTCCTCCCCCCACTTTCTCTCTCTCTCTCTCAAATAAATTAAATCTTTAAAAATAACAACAAAAAAGAACATTCATGATTCATGGGACAATGCTAACAGTTTGGAAGAAGTTGGTTCCAACCCTCCTGGATGACTTTGAGGGAGTTTGAGACTTCAATGGAGGAAGTAACTGCAGATGTGGTGGACACAATGAGAGAACTAGAGTTCAAAGTGAAGCCTGAAGATGTGAGATGGCTACAATCTCATGATCAAACTTGAACAGATGAGGAGTTGCTTCTTATGGATGAACAATGAAAGTGGTTTCTTGCAATGGAATCTACTCCTGGTGAAGATGCTATGAAGATGGTTGAAATGACAACAAAGAATTTAGGATATTACATCAACTTCATTGATAAAACAGCTGTATAGTTTGAGGGTATTCACCCCAATTTTGAAAGAAGTTCTACTGTGGGTAAAATGCTATCAAACAGCATTACATGCTACAGAGAAATCATTCATGAAAGGAAGAGTCAATGGATGAGGCAAACTTCATTGTTGTATTAAAATAAGAAATAAGAAATTGCCACAGCCATCCCAACCACCCTAATCAGTCAGTAGGCAAGCACCACCCTGATCAGTCAGCAGCCATCAACATCAAGCCAAGACCTTCCACCAGCAAAAATTACAACTTACTGAAAGCTCAGATTATGTTCAGCATTTTTTAGCCATAAATTATTTTTGAATTATGTACATTTTTAGTAATGCTGTTGCACACTTAATAGACCATAGTGTAGATTACAGTATAGGTAAACATAACTTTTACATGTACTGAAAACTAAAAAATTCATTTGACTGACTTTATTGAGATACTCACTTTATTGCGGTGGTCTGGAACTGAACCTGCAATAGCTTTAAGGTATGCCTGTAATTTGCTCACAAACTTACATCTACCACACCCAGGATTTGAAGTTAGGTAATCTGCCTCCAGAATATGCTCCTAAATGTTATACCTCTCAATTCCATCGTGCCCCATAGCTCAAAGTAGAAATCTAAAAGTCATTTATTTCTGCATCATCCACTTCCAATCCTGTATAATTCCAACATTATCTTGAATTGATGTACTTCTCTCCATCTCCATGGCCATCACCCTCGTCTGAGCCATCATTTTGCTTGTACATTCTGGTCTTCCCCCAACAGGGGGAGTTTTTCTAAAGAACCTGATGTCACAGCCTTGTTGAAACTCCTTTATGGGCTTCCGCATGCCTGACCATGGCCAAAAGAACTTTCTGTGACCTGAGCCCTGTCCTCTCCAGCATCTGTCCCACATTAGCTTGAGGGGCCCCTATTCCTGGGACATACCAACTATGTGGCCCACACACTCAGAGCCTTTGCTCTTGCTGTTCCCTTGGATCAAAACCATCTTCTTTTCTCCTGCTCCCTCCATCCTGCAGGTCTCAGTTCTCCTGCTCCCTCATCCCAGCCACACGGTCTAAAAGCTCAGTCTATGATAGCATTGTTTCCTTCATAGGACTTACCACATCTGAATCTGGGAAAAAGAAAGTGTAAATGTAGTAGTTCAAGCCATGGAGCAAGTTCAAGTCCATGTGGGTTCAAATCCTGGCTCTATACTATGATCTCTCTGTGGCTCCCTCTCCTCATCTGTTAAGAAACGGTATAGTAGTTTCTACTTAATATGGCTGCTATGATGAGTTGCAATCCCTAGCACATAAGTGCTGTTTAAGCATTTGCTATAATTATTGAAGGCAAGGACCTTGCCCCCAATCATCTCTATGTTCCCAGTGCTTAGAACACGCAGCTGATAAAAAGTTTGTCAAATGACTATTGTTCCCTTTATATAAGGGACAGTATCTACTATTTCCCAATGCCAGATGGAGGTTTTTACCCCGTGATCACAATTAATGTACCTTCACGGTCTATTTTACATGCATTTATTTTATTCCACTCACATTGTACAATTGTTATACAACCTACAAAAAGTACAAAAGCCTAATCCATTTTCCAATATCAGCTCAGAGCTAAGTTGCAAAAAAGGAACAGTACAGTGAGTTACAAGGAGACTTGAGTGTCCTGTACAATTTATACTGCCTGTCACATGATGTATTTAAAGCTGTAAGTATTGCCACAGGAGAATCTCTTGTCTTTGCAGCGACCACACAGTTCCTGTCGATGAGGCCTCCTTAGATCAATGTGTCTTTTCTTTTGAGGACAGGAACAACGAGACTTTGAACAGGTCTTTAGAAAACAAGGAATAGTTTGGGCACTAAATAATTAAATCAGTGTTTCAAATATAATCCTCAAATCAAAATACTTCTCCCCACCACCCGTATCCCTCATATCTTCATCCTCCTTTGAATCCTATGAGAAGTCCAGGACCAAGTTGTGCAAAACCACTCCTATCCTGTTAAATGCCATGCATTTTTCGAGATGAAAGAGCAAAGATGATATTTCAGAGACTACTGCTAAGCCAACTGAGAAGATCTACTGTAAGAGAAAGATTTTAAAAGAGTTTATAGAGTGTCTTCACTAATGGGTTTTTACATTTGTAGCCAGGTGGGGTTGAGGGGCAGTGAGTGAGTATTAAGTGATTTGATTATCTAGGCTGGAATTTTCGAAAACCCGAGAGCAGTGATTCTCAACCAGCTGTATTTTACCAACCAGCAGACATCTGGCAATGTCTGGAAATGCTTTTGGTTGTCACAACCAGGGGGGAGGGATTCTAGAGGAAGTTAATTCTTTTTTCTCTCCAGACGTGCCTAATCTTTACTATAATTTAGAGTATTCTTAACCATTATCCCATTCTGTCTTCTGATAAATAAAAATCACATCCTATGGAGACCAGTATATTGCCCTTGTCCATCCTCCGAAACCTGCTAATCTTTAAAACTGATCACTGCTCTATTTTCTGCATATGACCACAGCTAAAAAGAGTAAGTTTTACATTTTATTTTGTGGAAACAGGCATCTTCATTTTGCAGATAAAAGTCTTAAATATGATTTATGAAATGTTGTACATTTATACCTTCCACTTTTCCAGTGAGTGACAAGCATGCAACCTTGTAAGGAAATTCTAATAGCTAATATATGGTATTTATTGTATGCACTGTTCTAAGCACTTTTTATATAAACTCATTTAATCCTCACAATACTCTCACCGTGGAAGAAAAGCCTCAATAAAAAAAAAATAAATAAAAATCAGTATGTACTCTAAAGGTAGGTTTCTGTTTCTGGCAATGGTGGACTAGTAATTTTGACCAAGCCTCCTACTTAGGATAACTTGAAAAGCAGAGCTAAAGAAAAATAACTTTTTAAAAGAACTATTCAAAGGCACTGGAGAATTATCAAAGAATTAGAGAAAGAAACCCAGAAATGGAGGTGAGCCTGATATTTGGGACTATTTCCTCTCTAAAGGTCTGCCAATTCTGGAAGAGGTGAAAGACAGTGGGAAGCTGAAAGTAAGTTTGACAAGCTGATGAGGCTGAGGGATAATTTTAAACATGCCCAACAGAAGAGACCTGGTTTTGTGTTGGGACCCTGAAAGGCTGCAGCCTAAGAATAAAGATGAGCCAAGAATTGACCCAGCTTTCACAGATGCTGAAGCCCAGCTTCAAAACAGCTCAACCCTGATTAGAAAATAGCAATCTAAATTGTTGGTGTCTCTAAGCTTCCCACCAGAAGCAAACAAATCTCTTGTGGAGGAAGATACTATCCTAGGCCTCAAATTATCACTATAATTCTTCATATTCAATAGACAGCACTCAATCAAAAATAACCATAGGAGGTGTATGAGGAGACAGAACCACAGAAAATGAAGAGGATAGCAACAGAGCCATAGGGCATTAAGTTAATGGAGTCACCTAATGCAGATATTAGGATAATTACGCTTAATACATTCAAAGAAATAAGACTGATATTTTCAGCAGAGAACTGGAAGTCATTTTTTCAACACATAAAAATTGTAGCACTGCAAAACAGAATAACTGAAATCAATTCAACAGATGGATTTAATAGCAGGTTGGAAATAGCTAAGGAAAGAATTAGAGAAATGAAGGATAGTTTTGTAGATGATATCCAAACTGAAGCAAGGAAAGACAAAAGCATAAGAAATATAGAAAAGAGCATAAAAAGCATAAGGGAGATGGTGAAAGGTCTAATATGAGTAACTGGAAGAAAGAGAGAATGGAAGCAGAAGTAATATTTTAAAAGATAATGGCTGATAACTTTCCAAAAGAGATAAAAATCTTCAAGCTACAGATTCAAGAAACACTATGAATCCCAAATAGAGTAAATACAAAGAAATCACAACTAGGCATATAATTGTAAAACTACTGAAAACCAAAGCAGAGAGAAATAGCTTAAAAGCAAGTAGATTTAAGGAGACAAAGAACAAGAAATATTACTTCAAAAGAGCTGCAAAAATACTAATAGCCAACTTCAAAAAAACAATGAAGGTCAGACCCTTAGTGGGCAGAAAGAATACTACTGCCAACCTAAAAATTCTATACCCAGCAAAATTATCCTTTAAAATCCAAGAGGATGTGCCACCTTCAAACCTACACTACAGTAAGTATTAAAACACGGGGCACCTGGGTGGTTCAGTCCATTAAGTGTCTGACTCTTGGTTTTGGCCCAAATCTCAGGGTTTTGAGATCAAACCCCATGTTGGGCTCTGTGCTTGGCAGGGATTCTACTTGAAGATTCTCTCCCTCTGCCCTTCCCACTACTCTCTCCCTCTCTTTCTCTCTAAAATAAAATAAAATCTTTTTAAAAATATTAAAGTGTATTCTTCAGGTAAAAGGAAAATGGCCCCAGATACAAAAAAGACCTAAAAACAGCAGAAAGGAAATATATGTAGCTAAAGCTAAATGAATGACTATATAAAATAAGGTCTTGCAAAGTTTAAAATTAAAATATACAACAGCAGTATATAAATTAGGATGAGGTGATAAGGAGTTAGAGTGTTCTAAGTTCATTGCATTGTCAAGGAGAGGTAATGTTCACAGTTTATGTAGACCTTGATAGGTCAAAGAATCATGTTGTAACATCTAAGGTAACTACCAGAAGAAGAATAAACAATAACTACCAAGATAATAGAGATGGGGAATCATTTTTTTAATTAAAAACTCAATTCAATTGAACACAAGAAAAAGGAGTATAAGAAAATAAAATATATTTAAACCCAACTTATAATATTAAACATAAACAGACTGAATGTCAGACTAGAAAATCTAAAGGTAAATCATTTATAAACTATTAGACTAGTTTTTTTGAATATTTTGAAGTAGTACAAAAAATATTTTTAACTAAATGAAGGATTTAGATTAAAAAAAACTCGATTACAAAAACCAACTATGTCACACTTGCCTGAAAATTTTAAAAAGAGGTCTCCCGCAAGCTGTTTTAGATAAGCTCTCATCTAATTCTGTGACTTCCTAGACACTGGAGGCACCATAAAATCTGATCATAGTTCTAATATTTACTATTTGTCTAAACTTTCTTATTGAACTTTAGCTTTCTAGTCTGTAACATGGGGATAACACCTACCTCAAGGTTTAGATTACAGGAGATAAGGCACGTAAAGCACGTAGCCCAAAGTTTGGTACATAGTAAATGCTTAATACAGGTTACCTATTAAGTTACTACATCCATATGTAATTACTGAAACACTATATTGTACACCTGAAACTAATATAACACTATGTTAACTAACTGGAATGAAAATAATTAAAAAAAAAAAAGTTGCTACATCCAAACTACACACAGGGTGTTTGAGAAACAACACATACAGCCCATACATAAACACACCATATAAAGCAACTTAAAGGAGTCAATCTTTCACCCGTTCCTACACCACCCCAAAATCTAGAATTTATCTTTGATTTAAAATATTACAAAGATTCAAGGTATAGAAAACTTAACACTCCTATGCAAATATCCAATTCTATCTAATCCCAACATTTTGCCACAGAAGCTTCTATTTAAGAAGGGCAACATTATAGACATAATGAAAGGGCTCTACATGCTTACCTGACATTGGATTGCTTCTACTCGATAAGGGTTAAAACTCTTTTGGCATTTGCAACATAGTTGTTTGAAATAAACCTAAAGAGAAATAAGTCTTTTTTTAATACAAGATTATAGGTACCTTAGACTCCCAGTTCTTAATTTAAGTAATTCATTCCCCCACATTCTGCCTTGCTTTTGCCCAACCTCTACCCTGAGGTCTTAAGCTCTTCTGGTGTTATCAGTCACTTTTCTCACTCTTTGAACCTGTTTCCTTACCTGTAAAATCAAGATACTACCATTTATTTTCTAGAATTCTGACAATACCCAACAATATACACAAAGTACCACAGTAAAAATCTTCGATGGGAAGTAGCTGTTATAATTTTGCTCATTGTGTGGGCTGAACCCTTGACCTTCTCCTTCTGTCCTAGTCTATGAGCCCTCACTTTTTCATTTTCTCATTATTTCCCCACCTGAACTTCAAATTATTTGTAATTACACACCCATACATATTGTTTCTCAACTTGTGCATTTTCTTGTGCACATTTTCTCCCTGCTTTCCTTGATGAACTCCTATTTATCCTCTAAAATCCTGCATGGACATCATGATGCCTTCCCTCCGACAAGGTAATCATCCCCCTCCTGTGTTATTTCTGCACCACTTCCATGCCCCTGGGGCCACTGTATCTACCACCAAATTGCATTTTTTCTATGTCACTCCTAGGAGAATAAATTTCTTAAGAATGAGTTCTAGGTCTTGTTCTTTGTATCCTTGCATCTTGGAGTGTTTTAATTAAACCCATTGTTTTTCTTCTGGCAAAAGAGGTAAGTAATTTTAGTATAGTTTAAAAATCATTTGCCTCCACGGTCTACTAGATGGTTAGTACGAAAAGTCAAGTTTTCACTCAGGTCTTAGCACGCCTCCTTGCCCTCTCTTTCTATAGACCGTTAGCCAGAAAAGCAGTATCTAAAATGTAGAAAGCACAGGGGACTCAAACTCAACTGCTTGCTGAAGTTGATGAAATAGACCAGATGTAGACTGTTGCAAAATGAAGTGTGCATGCCCAGTGAAAGGAGCTAGAAGCTGCTGAGCCCCAGCCTAGAGTCTTCACACTGAAATGAGAGTCTATAGTGACCAGAGTCTATTAGGGAAATCTGGAAATGCAGATCGTGAAATCTTTCCCAATCTTAATAGGTTGACAACTAATTTAAATTGGGGGGGGGGGACTGCTTAGCCTAAAGAAGTCTCTCCAAGGTTAACCTTCACAATAAATTATTTCTCTTATTGCCCCACCTTGTGGACAGACCATGGAAATTTCCAGGAGCTAAGGCCCAAAGAGGTTCAAAATATACCAATTAAGAAATGAATATAGACAGTTCCACCATACACAATGACAAGAGTTCACCTAAATAACCTGAAATTTTGTTCAACAGAACTACCAAACCAAATGTAACACCAGGTTTAAGAGCTTCAGTTCATATGGACAGTCCAAATCGGTTCAGTTCAAACATTTAGTACCTATTAAGTGCCTGGCACTAAGGATGCCAAATGAATGAGACAGCATTATCTAACCCATCCTCCTCCTACATTTCGCTCACCTTTACTTACCTTATTAGTTCCAGAAATGCACCACACATAAGCACTCTCCCATCTGGTCTTACAATCTTTACAGTGAAAATAGCCATATTTTGGTTCCAAAAACTGCAGATAAGGGGGAAAAGCCTTTTACAATCTTGGGGGGGAATGGGGGAAAGCCAGATCCTCTTTCCTCATGGCTTCATATAAAAAAACAAAAAGCTTCCTTAACCTCATTCATGGCTCTTCTCAAGCCTACTACACTAATTTAGCATCTCATCTTTCAAGGATTACTCTGGGATTCTTATTGTTCCTGTCTCTCATACTTACTGTCTTTTATTATTATTTTTTTAAATTTTATTGTGTTATGTTAGTCACCATACAATACATCATTGGTTTTTGATGTGGTGATCCACGATCCATTGTTTTCGTATAACACCCAGTGCTCCATGCAGTA